CTGGAGCCCTGCCTCTCTCTCTGAGCCTTACTTACCAGGGAGCAGCTCAGATGAGTGACCGCCAAGGTCAAGCCCAGTGCTCAGAAGTCTTGCCAGATACTAAGAAGGCCGGAGCCAGTTATTAATGGCCCTAAAGTGGGAGCCTGAGTGGTGAGGATTGTCAGATAAGCCCTTAGATAAAATCCTCAGAACTAATAAGGACCTACTGTACAGCACAGGGAACTCTACTATGTACTCTGTAATGGCCTATACGGGAAAAGAATCTAAAAAAGAGTGGATATATGTATATGTATAACTGATTCACTTTGCTGTACACCAGAAACTAACACAACATTGTAAATCAACTCTACTCCAATAAAAATTAAAAAACAAAATCCTCAGATGAAATACAGGACACCCAGTTAAATCTGAATTTCAGATAAACAACAAAATAATTTTTAGTATAATAATAGTAAAGTAATTTTATATAAGTATATCCCAAATATTGCATTGGACATACTTACGGCAAAAATTTATATTTGTATTAAAAAATTATCTGACATTCAAATTTAATTGGGCCTCTGTCTTGTGTTTTTATTTGCTACATCTGGCACCTCCATACAATCAGAGAAAGAGCTGCAATTTCAGAATTTTTACAAAGAACCATCCCCTCGGTTTTGTCTCTGCAGAAGCCTGCCATCTGTGGCCCAGGATCCTGTGTGACCTCGTTCATCGGAAAATTCCAGGGACGCCTCCAGCCACACTACAAACATTATCAAGATAATTTGTCTCATCTCTAAATTCCTGAGGGGGTCTCTGTGTTCCAAATATAAAGGCTGGATAGATACAGAGTGTCATTCACCCATTCATTATTCATTCAACAAACACTGAAGGCCCACTCGGCTCCAGGAGGTGTGGGACAGACATGAGGGATGCCAAGGGGTAACCCGTGACCTCGGACCTTGCAGGGCTCACACTTTAGAGGAATACAGACTCAAACACACTGTCATAAAATGGAATTACCTGCACTTTGACAGAGATAAGAACAAGGCAAGTTGAGGTCAATTTCGTGGGCTGAAGAATCAGGCATGAGGTAGAGCCCCAGCGCTGTCCCTTCCTGGCTGTGTGACACACGCAAGTGGCTGACTCTCTCTGGACCTCAGTTTCTTTATCTGTAAAATGAGGCCAATAGTGGGACTCCCTACGCCCACCCCAGGGTGCTCGTGTCTGAAATATGCAATGTCCCAGCTGTCAGTACCCAATGCTCACGAGCCGTAACTGTTAGTGTCACCCTTGCTGTCATAGCTGGGTGGACCCCAAGGGCTCAGGGCGGAAAGCCGGGCCTGCTCTCCTCTCAAGGCCTCGCCACAGTGAATCTCTTTTGATTTTCTCCATTTTGTGCCTTTGGATCTGGTTAATTTCCAGTGCATTCCACTGGGAACATGTGAAATGGAATTCAAGGCCCACTGCAGGATAAACCAGGATCCCCTTACAATGCATTCTGAAGGTGAGGCTTGAAGGCCCATCAGGGCAGGAGAGAGAAAGGGGCCAAGTTTCCATTTCCTGCCTGTGGATATTACCAATCATAACGATTCCCAGGAGGTCTGGGTTGAAGGGTGCACCACGCTGGCCGCAAGGGCGCTTTACCTCCAGACCCGGGGAGGGGAGTAACCACGCAGCCGTGACTGGGCCGAGATGCCTGGAGATGCCCCAGGAGGACATGCCATCCTGGCTCCAGGCCCAGCCGGGCCACTTCTACTGCTGGGTACATTTCCTGTCTGAACAATGAGGATTCTCGCCCCGGACCCAGGGAACCCTTATAGAAACATTAAACTACAATGAAAGGTTTCTGGTGCCGAGACACAGCGCAGCTAGGAACTCTGGGCCTGACTCTGCGAGGAGCACAGCAGGTGGGCGGGGCGGGGCGGGTGGGGGGACCCTGAAGGCAGACAGCAGGGGATGCTTTCTGGGGCTCTCCCTCCTTCCCTTCTGGCTTCCACAGAAAAGCCCTGGGAGAAACCCCTCTTTCTAGATGGAGAACTGAAAGGAGGGGGCTCCTGGGAGCCGGGGGTTCTGGTAGAATCTCCAATTTCTTTCTTTTTTTCTCTTTTCTCTCTCCTGGACTTGCCCCAGGGCCGGTCTCAGTCTCTGGACTGTGCTTGGATGGCAGTGATGGTGGCGGCTGTGACACGGGACCTAAAACACAAGAGAAAACCCTTCTTTCTGGCCAGCAGGACAGAGAAAAGGGCCCCCATAGTCTGAACAGTGTGGAGAGATCCTCTTATCTTTTCTTTCTCTTTTCTCACCTGCTTTGCAGAGCAGGCATCCTGGCTGTGCAGAGCTGGGTGACAGCACAGGAGGAGAAAGTTGACAGAAACATTGACTTTCTAGCTAGAGGGTTAGGAAACACCATTCCTGGAGCCAAAGAGATCCCAGGGAGTAAATTTCAGGGGGGAGAGAGCGGAGAAGGGGTCCCCTAATTCCGTGTGTAAACCTCACACATTCTGGGCTCGCTCCAAGCTGTGCACGCACAGAAACGAACCAAGGAATAGTCATAAAGCCTTTGAGAACAGAACTAAGACCCCTGCCCAAGCCCAGACTCACCCCTGAGTCTGAACAACATTGCAAAGGTGTCACAGTCAGAACTGACATCAGGACCACTGCTTGCATAAAATGAGGCAAAATTTCCGAAAAAAGAAATCTCCAAATGGTTTCACTGACAAATTCTATCAAACGTGTAAGGAAGAATAACACCAGTTCTATACAATGTCTTCCAGAAAACAGAAGAGAAGACACTTTCCAGTTTATTTTATGGAACACTTCCCAAATTATGTTTACGATGCTAGCATTATCCTGCTACAAAAATCAAAGATATGACAAGAAGAGAAGATGGAAGATCAATTTCCTAATTGAACACAGACAAAAAGTAGACAACAGATATTAGCAAATTGAATCCAGCAACATATAAGAAAGGATAATGCAAGACTGGGTCAACATTCGAAAATCAATTAATGTAATTCACTATACTAACAGAAGTAAGAAGAAACAAAACACAATCATATCAATAGATGCAGGAAAAGCGTTTGACAAAACTAAACATATACTAGTGGTAAAAACTCTTAGCAAAGGCTTCCCTGGTGGCGCAGTGGTTGAGAGTCCGCCTGCCGATGCAGGGGACGCGGGTTCGTGCCCCGGTCCGGGAAGATCCCACATGCCGTGGAGCGGCTGGGCCCGTGAGCCATGGCCGCTGAGCCTGCACGTCCGGAGCCTGTGCTCCGCAACGGGAGAGGCCACAACAGTGAGAGGCCCGCATAACGAAAAAAAAAAAAAAAAAAAAAAACTCTTAGCAAAATAGAAACAGAAGGGATCTCCCTAAATCTGATAAAGAGTACCTCCAAAAAAACAAACAAACAAATAATCTAGAGCTAATATCACACTTAATGGTGAGAAACTGAATGCTTTCCCTCTAAGATCTAAGGAATAGGCAAGGATGTCATACTGGACATTCTAGGCAGTGCAATAAAGAAAAAGAACTAAAAGGTACATAGATGGGAAATGAAGAAATAAAATTGTCTCTAAGTGCAGATGACATGATTGTCTACATAGAAAATCCCAAAGAATTTACAAAACGATCATATAACTCATAAGTGAGTTTAACAAGGTCACAGAATACAAGGTGAATATTAAAAATTAATTATATCTCTATATTCAAGCAATGAACAATTGGAATAGAACATTTTTAAAGTTTCATTTACAAGAGCACCAAAAAACAGAACACTACTATAAATCTAACAAAATATGTACATGATATGGCACACAGGAAAGAAGGGAGGGAGGGAGGGAGGAAGGAAGGAAGGAAGGAAGGAAGGAAGGAAGGAAGGAAGGAAGGAAGGAAGAAAACATAGGCTTTGATTCGAGGGCTGGCAAGTTTAACATCCAAATCCTGCCACCTTGGTCAGCACATAACATGGGTCAGGAGAACTTTCTGATCAAGGAAAGTGACAATCATGTGAAAAGTCATCAGAGTGGGAACTGCTGCCCGTCACCCTCCCCCCAGGGCCCATCTTGGAGTACAGGATCCCAAGGTTGAGTGGTCCCATCCCCTGGGGCTACAGGGCTGGTCAACAGGCTTCCCCCAGACCCCATCAGGAGAGAGCACTCAGTTGTGGTGATGAGTTGGCCAGAGGCTGGGGGTCCCTGCTGGGCAGTGTGGTGAGTGTTAGTGGCTTAACTGGAGTGATGCACCAGCCCTGATGGCAATCAGAACACCGGAGTTTATGCCACCAGGTCCAGGAGAAGGCTGAAGGGGGCAGGGGTTTAGCCAGGGCATTTCACCATATGAGGAAGTTCCCTTGTGATGGAGGCATGGAAGCCACATGGGGGCTGGCAGGAGAGGCAAAAAGACATCACAAAACAGACTATACACCTAACAGAAAGGTGTACATGTGCTCAACACCTGTACCCAAATGTCCATAGTGACACCATCTAGAACAGCCCCAAGATGGAAATAATCCAAGTGCCCATCAACAGTAGAAGTGTGGCAATAAATTGTGGCAATATTTACACAACGGAATTCTACACAGCAATGATTATGAACCACAGCTATACACAGCAGCATGGATGAATCTCACAAACGCAATGATGACAAAAACAAAACAAAATACCCAGACACAAATAAGAACACACAGTGTGATTCCATTTCTATCAGTGGTTCTCAACTGGGAGGGATTCTGTCCCTTAGGGGACTTTTGGTGATGTCTACAGACATTTTTGATTGTCACAGCTGGCAGACAGGGGGGTGCTACTGGCACCTAGTGGGTTGCGGGCAGGGATACTGCTCCATGCCCTACGGCGCACAGGACAGCCCCTGACAACACAGAATCATCCAGCCCTAAATGTCAATAGTGTCCAGGCTGGGGAATTGTGGTTTTTATTAAGGTCACACAATTGGCAAAACTAATATCCTGTGTCAGCGTGAGAACTGCTCCTGGGGTGGGGGGCAGGGCTGGCTGTGCTCTGACCTGGGTGCTGGTCACAGGCGTGCGCTCACTTGGAGGAGATGCAGAAAGCCGTCCGCTTTCCTGCGTGTCTATCTTACTCCAAAAGTTGTCCTTTAAGAAGGTGGGAAGAGTGAAGTTTGTACACGAATCTTGAACTTGATTCAAATGACTTTTGAGATGGAACTTCTATTCAGACAATTCACATTTCATGGGATGTTGTTTCCCTCTCTCAACAGATCAGAGGACACTCAGAATGAGCTCTCCTGTCCCTGCAAACCGCAGGCAAAGAGCATCGCAGGATGGCAGTCTTTCACCCACACCCATTCGGCTGCCTGCTAGGGACCCGCGGGCCGATGGAGAGACCAAGATGACACAGGGGCATCCTGAGGGTGGAGGCTAGAGCCGGGTGTGGGGTGTGTGGCCACTTCCCCTTCAGTCTGGATCTTCAAACTGCTAACGGGTCTGGCGCGGGGTCACTTTTATTAAGGCCTTCAACAAAAACGGATACTGCCTCCGGAAAGGGTTAAGGAGTTTGCCTGAGGTTGGTCCCTTAGCTAGCAAGAGGCAGGAATCAGAAGTGTGTGTGTGTGTGTGTGTGTGTGTGTGTGTGTGAGACAGAGACGGGGGGCGGGGGATGGCTTCCAGGCCTCCAGACCACCAATCCTGAAGGCCTTCTCATGAAGTCACGTGATACCTGGGGATGATATCCTGGCAGAGAACTGGCCCCCAAACTTGGCTATTTTGTTGAAAAAGCACAAGGAGAAAAACAGTTCTGCCCTTTTATCAAACTTGACAGCACACAGCCGGCTGCCCACCTTCCTGTGTGTTTCTTCCACGGAGGCTGAAGTTAATGGCAATATTTGCTTCCTAACGTCAATACCTGCCACTCCTGTTGGCCAGTGTTTACACACTGAAGAGTTTTTAATTAAAAACAATGGAGGAAAGAAAAATAAAAGCTAATGTTTACTGAGAGCCTGCTCTACGCCAGGTACGCCCTGGGCATCTCTGCGCGCGGTATTTTGCCATGAACCATCCCTCGGGTCGGGTACCATCATCACAGTTGTTGGACAGGCGGGGAGAGGAAGCGGAGGCACGTGCTGAGAAGGGGAGAGCAGTGTGGTGAGGCATCGCCCCACAAGCGTCTCCAGAGCTGCTCTATGTGGCACACACGTGCCTTCGTGTGCCAATGCTGCGCTGGACCAAGAGGAGAGGTGTTTCATTCCCTCAGAGAGAGAGGTGGAGATCACGCCTGCAGCACCCCCAAATGTGACAAGGCACAATGCCATCAGGACCAGTGCTGAGTGCACACGCAGAGCTGTTAGCACAGCTCCTGCGTTTATTTTGGTACCTCCCTCGGTAGCATGGACCCACTGTGATATCAGTCTTGTGCAACGGTGACTCTCAAAAAGCTTCCTGATCGGGGGTGGTGACGGGTCAGATCCCATCACCTGCATGGACCACACTGCCCTTCTTACCTCCCCCTGAGCTCTACTCGCCAGGCATTTTCACAAAGCCACCTCCTGCCTCAGGCTGCTCACCTGCCCCTCTACTGCCTGTGGGTCCTCCACCTGTGTTCCTCTCCTGAGGCTCTCCTGAGCACCGAGGGGCCAGCAGGGATGAGCAGGAAGTCCCAAGGAAGAGCTGCTCTGGGCTGGATGGGTGCTATTTCACCCTCACACCAGCCCAACACCAGGGGGATGACAGGGGGCTCAGAGAGGGGCAGTCATTTCCCTAAGCTTGCACAGCTATAAGTAACTGATCAGAAATCAACATTCATGTCTGCCGGCTCCAACGCTTGTTGTCACTCTAGACTGAACGGCTTTCTCCACTAATTTATTCCTACAACTGATGAAATATTTATTATGTTACATTACATTATATTTCTTAGGTTACATCACATTATATTTATATCACATTACATTATATTGTTACATTACCTCATATTACAGTTCACTATGTACTAACATTACATCATGTCATGTTACATTATATTATAGTTAGCTATGTACTAGTGTTCCATTAGAGTATATAATGTCATGTTGTTACATTATATTATATTGCATCATGGCTAGCTGTGTACTTTGTTTATCTTTTTTAGGGGCTGCAAGCTTTTTAAGCATAAGAGCTGAGTTTAATTTCTCTTTGTATCCCTGATGCCTAGCACATCAACTCACACAAAGTAGAAACTAAATATAGATATATATATTTTAAATGTTTTCTCAATTACTTGCTGCACCTTGCACTCTTTGATACAATATCTACATGGTGGATGAGGTGGGCCTACTTGCTGTGGCAGAATATTTCTAGACCCACATAAGGCCCAGAAAAATAAGGATATTTTTGGAAAGCCTGAGAGCATTACAGAATGAAGAGGAAAAATCAAATTCACCATCTTTGAAACCGTTACCATAGGAACTCAGCAGGAGAAAATGCTGTCTCATCAGAATACATCATCTTCGATTACCAGGAATAAAGGAAACACTTGCCTTGGAGAGAGAAAGGCCAGACATCAGTGTGGTGGTCCCGGGCTCCCAGGACCCTATCCTTCACAGGGCATCGACATAGACCGCAGTGAGAATTCAGGGGCCATCACTTGCTTTTCGAGGACTGAGGCTGAGAACCTCAAGGAGAAACGGGATGATGCCGCCTCCATGGCTATTTGCAGTTGAGCAAACACAAAACAAAGGGGAATTCTGAAGTTCTTCCTTAGGGAATAGCTGGCAAAGGTTGTCATAAATTAGTACCTATTCTGCCCCAATGAAGTCAGTAGCATCTTTGGAGTGATTCAATGGCATCACTGTAACCAAATGAGTGTCCCCTGTGGGGACCCGTGGCCTTAGGGTGATGGTGGGAAATTTGTTCCGCTGTTCACTCATCGGCTAAACAGGCATCTACTCCATTGGTGGGGCGGGGGGGGGGGGGCAGGGCCCGGGGGGGGGGGGGGGGGGGGGGGGGAGGGGAAAAGGGAGGGGGGGTACAGAGCCCGGGCGGTGTGGAAGCCAGAGGTGCAAAGAGAAAAGCCATGTGATCTTTATTTTGGAGGAAGAGAGAAGGAGAAAGGGAAAGAGAGAGAAGGAGGGAGAGAGAGAGAGGAAGGGAGAGGGTGGGGACAGAATTTACCAATGAAATAAAATTAAAACAGTGCGTTTTACATCTGCGAGTGTGTGCACCCCAGAGAGAAGGCAGGATGGAGTGAAGGCACACCCAGCATCTCTACCCCCTAAGTGGATCCTTCTGGGTCATTTTTTAAATCTCCCCTCCTCTATAGGACGAAACGACAAAATCATTTTCAGTAGTAACCATGACACGAAACAAATAACAACACTGGAGGGAGACACTGGGATCTCCACGGAACGTTTTTAAGACACCGGTCTCCTCCAACCTACAAAGGTCCCAGTGAATCGCCACACTGCTCCTCCCCAGGGAAACCTGTGTGTGCAGGAAGAAGGGGAAGACACAGCACAAGGCAGGGTATGACTAGGAAGCTTCCAGGTTTCCATGAGGATGAGAAAGGGACTATTTCTTGCCATATCAGTAAACAAAGGATGTCACAGTCATCAACGATTGCAGCCCTCCAACGTAAGCCAGTGAGCCCAGGAAACTCAAGGCTGAAAAGAGAGCCTAGTGTGTTGTGAAGAAAACAGGGCACAGAGGAGACAGAAGGCCAGGGCCACATGCGTAATCCCCGCCAGAGAGCATGGTGGCTCCAGAGACAGCCCGAACAGCATCTCAGCGCGCCCGGGAAGCAAATGAAGACCGGGCCGTGGCTTCTGTTCTTCCCCAAAGTCCCCACAGTCCTGTCCTTGGGTCAAGAGGACTTTTTAAGAAGTAACTGCTTACAAGGAGCCTTAATTCCTTTCCAGCTGGCATGGCCACTGAGAGCTACTCCTTCTTCTGTCCCCGAGGGTAACCAGCCACCGTCGGGTGTCTTGCAGGGACCAGGAGGGCTGAGACCTTGTCTGTAGCTGCAAACCAACAGCTGCTTAAGAACCTCTCTGGCCTCAGCTTACCAAACAAACATCTCCCACCTCCTCATCTCTGCCTCATCTACCTCCCAGGGTTTCTTCACGCATCAGATGAAAAGATTTTTCTTTTTATGCGGTAAGAGTCCTGGTTTTACTGCGTACTGACACCCTCTTATTTTGAGGTTCAGGGCAGGGGCACTTGTGCTATTTTTGAGGTTGAGTGTTTTGAAACACAGCAGGCACTCAATAAATGCTCACTGGCTTGTTTGGGCAAAATCACATCTGTATTATGCACCATAGGAAACCTGCCTGTTGGAGAGAAATCATCTTAGAAACAAGGTTGTAGTCTTCCCAAGAGTATTTAAAAACACTCGAGGACAAACGAGGCCCAGGGCACCCCAAGAGAGGGTGTGTTTTACAGCCAAGAGCAAAGAAAGCACTTCAATCCTCTGTGGAAAAACCCTGGTCCAGTTTAAGCTGAAAAGGAATCTGGGCCTGTTCCCTAAGGGGTCTGACAACATGCCACTCAGAGGATTGGTGTTAAGAGTATCTGATTGTTACCAGCAGCTGGAGGGAACACGGTGGGGATGGGGCAGGAGGAATTTGCTCTAAGAAGAGGCAGAGAACGCCTCCTTTCCAATCGAAAAAGACAGTCCTGTTGTTTCAAATAATTAATATAAAGACACACGTGGGTGGCTGTAAACTCCACGTCAGCTTTTGCAACATGCAGGCAAGAAAGAAGAGGGCTTCCCTGGTGGCGCAGTGGTTGAGAGTCCATCTGCCGATGCAGGGGACGCGGGTTCGTGCCCCGGTCCGGGAATATCCCACATGCCGTGGAGCGGCTGGGCCCGTGAGCCATGGCCGCTGAGCCTGCGCGTCCGGAGCCTGTGCTCCGCAACGGGAGAGGCAACAACAGTGAGGGCCCCGCGTACCAAAAAAAAAAAAAAAGAAAGAAAGAGAAAGAAAGAGCAGATAAATGAAAGGGTAAGACAAAGATCCATTGGTCCTCTCTGTCCTGATGAACTGGGAGCAATCAAAGACCATGATGCTCATCACATAAGTGAAGTGGAAAGAAGGGCTGGGGTTCAGGTCAGGGTGCAAATTCAGGCTCTGTCTCCCACGGATGGTGTGGCCACAGGCAGGCCA